TCATTATGCTTTGCAACAATAAGGTTGTGAAGGTCTTGAGAGAGCTCTTTACTTTTACCCATCATCAGATGGTTCTTGTGTGATACCTGGCCATCATTTGTGACTGAACCAGCTGACATTAACTTGCACTGACAAGGGGCAGACTTGTTTTCTAATTACTGAGAGAGTTCAGCTGGTGTCTTGGCTTTCCATGCCTCTTTACACCTCCGTTTCTTCATGTGTTCAATGCTTTTCCCTGTGCCATTCCACATTATTACAAATAACTTCATTTCTGGACATTTATGGTTTGATTTCTTTGTATGTATGGATCACTTGGGTTGTTACTGACAACTGGTGGAAATTTCATGTCATTAGCTCCTCTAGTAATATATTTACTGAGAAAAATGGTGACGTGTTCAATACTTATTTTATCCGATGTAGTTAAACAGCTAAACTAAAGTTTGCCTTGTCTTTAAGAACTTTTATATCCCCTAGAGGTATTTTCATAAGATTAAATACTCTTATTTTATTTCTTTGAGGCAAAAAGCTTGCTAAAGTTCACTCCTCCTTTAATGACTAAAGATGTTTAAACAGAAACTCCCAGTTCTCTTTGTCTGAGTCTTAGAAAGACCAACCCCTGCATGCTCCCAGTAGAGTCACTACCTCTGTGTGACATAAAATCTTGTGACTGGGTTAAGCTCCGCCTTCCAAAACCTTTAAATTCCAGCAGGCATGTTGCTTGTCCTCTTCCGCGCTCTCTCCTCTTTGCTTCTGTTCCTGATTATTTGCCTTCAGCTCCGTCTCCTCCACGTCACGTCTTCGTTCTGCCGGCACCCTTTCATGGCTTCCCAGAACACAGGCCTTCTCCTCCAGCCGCCCAGGCTGGACTCTCTCCTCGTTGCCGTTTTAATGTAATTTAATTAGAAACCTGCACTTAAGTAAGGTGCCAGCTCAGAACTGAGCCCGACTTGATAGAAAGTAAAAGTAAGCTAATGGTTTACTCAATGCTCCGCATCAACTCGTTTTGCTTGACGAGAGACGGGACCAACCATCCCTGGGGAAGCAGAAGCTGTCTTTCCCCGTTCTGAGCAGCCATCAGCACCACCAGCCGCTTTTAGGGCCACAACCACTGACTGTAGGACCACACCGAGTCACAGACTCGTGGCCATTTCTGGCAGACCTAGCGACAGAGTTCCCTGAGTGACAACATTCAGTGATCTCCATCAGCGGAAGACTTCTCACTTGAAACACAGCAGGAAACCAACTGGTGAGCGAAACAAAACTTTGTTGGTGACAAGCTGGTGCTCAAAGCAAGGCTGATCCACAACTTTTAACGAGTTTTGGTAAAATTAGCTAAAAATTAGCTCAATCTTTCTTCAGCTTCAATCCAAGTATTATTTAAGAAACAGACAAACTTCTCTCCTTAAAATAACCTTCTAAAATCCCTTTAGCCTCAAAAACCCATTATTTATTTATTTGTTCGTTTTTATTTTTTATTTTTTTTTGTTTTATTCTTGTTCTGCGTCTTTAAAGTTTATCTGGGTCAAATAGCTACATTAGAGCCATTATATTATTGATATCAATTTTAGGTCATTCTTGTCATGACCTCACTCTGCTGAGCTCTGAAGTATTATGTCATTCCATATCTGCAATAATTCATATCATATTAATATTTAAATAAATGGTACATGAAGAGCATACCAAATTTAATACGTCTTTTTGTGTCTTGATTACGTTTGGTGATTTATCTAAGAAAATAACTAAATTTTGGGTACTGATTTTTGAGACTGATAACCATTCATTGATTTATCAAGGTTTTTCTTCCTTTCGCCTTCAAAATAAAAGTGAGTGGTGCCCGAGGTAATATTAAAATGAATACTTTAATAATTCCCAGCCCTACGATATTTCTTTTGTTCAGAGACCTGAGATGACTTCTCTTCTGAATTAGTGTTGTAAAATAAACTGAACTGAGTTGAATTAAACAGAATTAAACTTTGCAGATATTTGGAACTTGTGAAAAAATTAGGACAAGCAAAGATCCAAATGTGCCCACTGCAAAATGTCTCTCTAGCACCATCATGATTGCAGCACCTTCAACTACTTTAATGTACTCCTATAAAATTTGGTGCACCTGTGCATCGGTTCATGTCCTACGAAAAAGTCTCGACACAATGTTGTCAAACCTACAGAAAGCTGTCTTTAATGTTCTGCTCAGGATGGAAGATTGTGATAAAGTAAAGATTCAACACAATCTGCTGCTTCCTTAGATAAATAACTTTTCCTAATTGTCATTTTATAATGTTTGTGATTTTTTTTTTGTTCAGAGACCCGAGATGAATTCTGTTCTGACTTGGTGCTGTCTAAACAAACCAAACTGAAATTAATTCAACAGGAAGAAATGTAAATCAACTCACATCCATTGCAGACTCGTAGGCACACCAGCTCTGATCGTCTTCACCAACAATCAGTAACAGTGGACACTGGAGTCGTCCCATCTGATTAGAGACAAACAGATTTTCACATTTCATTAGTTGTTTGAGACGTTACACAGACATCGCTTCTTTCCTGGTCTGACCAAATAGTCTGATAAATAAATGGTTGGAAATGACTGTAAATGACTCATTTCGCCTCATGAATAGAACCCAACAGTTAATGAATATAATTTACAACAGCAGTTTATAATATAATGTTTAACATAATGTTTAATATAATATAATAATTATTGGATACACTGCTGGTTTTCTAAGTTTGTCGACTGACAAAATGAACAGTCTCTGATTTTGAAGTAGTTTAATTTTATTAGAAACGCAATTTTTTTTGGTCCTTCCTGCAGGGGTTGTCACAGCAAGTAAACTTTCAAGAAAGATTTGTCAACTGTTTCATACCAGATACAATTCCTGATGCAAACTGGGCTCAGGATTATGGTTTAAGGTGGGTGGAGATTGATAAAGAACTCATGAGTGTGGGTCCTGTAAGTGGGCCCATTGCTCTCCCCAAATCGACACTGATCTATATTGAAACTTTTGCGTTCCTTGGATGAAGGACGAGATTAGAAACCCTCAGTGTTCTGAGCTTCTCAGGATCCATAAAGGGGTCTCCAAAAATTATTTTTGTTTTACCGCTGAGAGTTAGACAGTGTGTAGTGCAAAGATGTCTAATTCAATGCCACAGGCATCACACAGACCATTGTCATGGAGTCCCATCACCATTTTCTGGTGGTTGAACGGGTTGTGTCCAGTTAGGACTTCAACCAATGTACTTAAAGTTTTCCTTGTCAGGGCGATGAGAGCTTTCCCAAACTTAAGATTTGGACCATTTATAATTTCCCGTGTCTGTCTACAGTTCATCAGCTTCCAGTGGATTGAGTGTTGATGTCTAATCCAGGCCCATAGGGCAGTCCTACAGACTGTCAGAAACTTAGCGTATGTCAATGAGTGAAAGGAAGGAAAGAGATTAAGGAGACTCAGAACAAATGTTTAGTGAACATTTCTTTACTGGTGGGGAGACCAGGTCCAGGTAAGTGTCTGGAATGGTAAGAGGTGAGTGGTTAGTATTGACTCCAAGCTCTAACAGGTGATGAAAGTAACTATCTTTCTTCCAGGTTCGAGAAGATCCCGGGTTATGGAGAGGAAAACGAGAATCCAAGGTGAGTGTTGTCACAGATAATTATTTACAGGTGAGTGTTTCTTGGTGCTGGTGGTAGTAATTCATTGGCAGGCACAGAAAAATTCACAAGGAGTAAGTCCACAAAGGGTTCTTACTGAGAGAAGACACAAAAAACTCAAGGTTAAATTTACTCTGTGAAAGAGGCACTGGGGAAGCTGAGAACCATACAAAGAGTACGCTATGTTCCAGCAAAGGTCTGGGGTCGGATTTATAAAGCTTGCGTACGCACAAAACGAGCCCAGAAACTTGCGTACGCCACTTTTCACGCCAATGTTGTGATTTATAAAATCCAAACTTGACGTGAAAATGTGCGGTGCCTCACACCAGCTCTGACCCATGCGTACGCTCATTTTGGAGACGTGAAACTGCGACACAGATGGTGAAGTGAGGAATTAGAGCCACACTGTGTAATGATCACTGTCAGATATTTAATTTACCTTCAGAATCAGACTTAGATTTTTAATGACCTTTATTATCAGCTTTCTTATTATTTATGCTTCTGCTTAAATCTTAAATCTTAAATAAAAGTTCACGCATCCATTCATCTCCTTCCTCCTCATGACCCTGACCCACAGACCCCTCCCCGACAAGAGACATTTCAACAGCACAACAGCAAAAATCTCAGTTATAGTCACGCTTTGGGTGCGCACCCTCGCCAGTGTGGATGTGTTATAAAAGATACACTTTTTAATGTCCGCATTTCTCACGAGCACGTGCAGGTGGTGGGGGTGAGGAGACGGTCAGATAACAGCAGGCAGGAGGGGGAGGACGGGGGAGAAGAGCGGTGAACTTAACTTCATCTGACTTTTCATTTTATTTATTGTTTTTATCGTTCTGCAGGCTCTGAGAGAAAATTAATTTGTTAGATTGCTCTAAACGTCTGTAAACCTGCAAAATGAGGGAAAATCTGTGTCAATTACAGACAATCTGTTCACATGAGCAGCTGTCAGTCAGCATCTGTCATCCTTCAGACACACGACGGAGCGTGTCTGAACCAATCGTTTTTTTTACATTGATCAGCTGACTGATTTAAATACATCTTAACATTCATGAGGTACTTTACATTGACTGTTTATGGTTGAATGTGGGCGTGTAGAGGGTAGAACCTGAGGAGGACCTTGTGCGCACACCCTGACGTGCGGCTGTGATCTATAAAGGAAAGATGCAGAAACGTGCGTACGCATGGTTTTTATAAATCTCAAGTTTTTTTGCATATGCCATTTTCGCTTTTTGGCCGTACGTTCACTTTTAGTATGGTTTCCACGCAATCCTTTATAAATCTGACCCCTGGTCCTTTGAAGTGAGCCTGACTGCCAGCTTTTGCAAGGCAGTCAGCTCTCTTGTTACCATTAACGCCATTATGTCCTGGTACCCATTTGACACTAACACTGTTATTGCTTCCCATTTGGTTGACTGCTTCGGTACACTCCCAAACAAGTAATGATATAAAGTGTGGCCCTTGGGGAGCTTTAATAGCAGATTGGCTATCTCTTAGTATACAAATACCAGATAGCAAAATATGTTAATTCAATGTTGAATTATGGTAAAAAAAGTGAATTTTTGGTTTAGGTCAAATGATTGATGATGGATCAACCTAACATCATCTCAACAATTCACCAACCACTTTTTGTATAATTTCAACATAGATTCAGTTTTCATGCCTAACCATGTTACAATGTTGATTCACTCATATTTTAGTGTCTGGGATTTCCTTCTATGTACATTGAAGGTCTGTGAGAAATGCCACACACTGGTGGATTGTATATCTCAGCTTGAGATACGGTTACTGTTATGGAAATATTTAACAAAGACAGAAATACGTGGTCCAAGAATGAAGGTATTCTGTGGAATGATCAGCTGAGTTTTATTGCAACAGGAACACTGAGAACAACATAGAGCCATCAGACTGTCCCCCTGCTCTCTGCTCCTGCTTCTCCTTCACTGAGGCAGTTGAGGCCTCATATATACCGTTTAACAAACACTATTATGTCATCTTAATAAAGCAAGATTACATCCTAAGGAAATGCTGGGTCAAGTGAAAACACAAAGATAAACACAAGTGATGTCTAAGAATGATTATTGTTGTTAGCAAATCTTGTTCTGACTTTAATCAATCTGCAGATAAACAGCATGTCATGAAAACCTAGGCATGAAAACTTAGGTCATTAAAGTATGTCATTAATTACTGGCTTGAACCTAAAAGTATTATTTCCATTACACTCTCCCAATCTGATCTTTAAATGATCAATTAAATGATCAAAAAACAACTCTTTAATGTATTTTAAAAAAATTATGTCAACACAAACCTGTATATGTACTTTTCTAAAATCCCAACCCCAGTTTTTCAAAAAAAAAATTTTGTCACAGGTCTGCCTCAGTCTGAGGGTAAGTCTGTTATTCTTACTATCGTGGACATATTTTCTAAGATGGTTCATCTTGTGGCTCTGAACAAACTCCCATCTTCCAAGGAACTAAGTCAAATCTTCATGAAAGAGGTCTTCAGATTACATGGATTACCCAAAGACATCGTTTCAGATCGTGGGCCACTGTTTGTATCTAAGTTTTGGAGGGAGTTTTGTTCTGCTATGGAAATAACATTAAGTCTGTCCTCAGGTTTCCATCCTCAGACTGATGGCCAGACGGAGAGGGCTAACCAGGAGTTGGAAACCCACCTGCGCATACTGTGTGAAGACAATCCCTCCAAATGGGTAGAGTACCTCCCTCTGGTCGAGCACGCCCTCAACACCCTTCCAGCTAGTGCTACTAGTCTCTCTCCTTTCTACGTGGTTCATGGATTCCAGCCACCGGTGTTCAGTATTCAGGACCGTGAAGCCCAGGTGCCATCTGCATACCAAGCCGCCCTCAGATGCCAGAGAGTATGGCGAAAAGCCAGAAAGGAATTACTCAAGACCTCCATTGTCACCACCAGAACAGCCAATCGATGAAGGATCCCGGCTCCACACTACCAAGAAGGTCAGAGTGTCTGGCTTTCAACTAAAGGGGGTCAAATGTAGGAAGCCGGCACCTCGCTTCGTGGGACCATTCCCCATAGCCAAGGTTGTTAACCCAGTGGCTGTGAAACTGAAGCTTCCTAGATCCATGAGAGTTCACCCGACCATTCATGTGTCCCGGGTCAAACCTGTTCTCCAATCCAGATTTGAGCACCCCTCCAGGCCCTTTCCTCCCACCCAACTCATCGATGGTGGTCCAGCCTACACAGTTCGACGCATCCTCAAGTCTCGTCATTGGGGTAGTGGCATCCAGTATTTGATTGACTGGGAATGTTATGGACCTGAGGAACGTTCATGGGTTCCAGCACGCCATGTCTTGGACAAGGAATTAATTAAGCAGTTTCACAAAGACCACCCTGACCAACCTAGTTTCTGCCAGAGGTCCGTCAGGAGCTGGACCTTAAGTGGGGGGCTCTGTTATGTTTTACAACCACAGTCTAGCTCTGCTCCTGTTCCTCCTCCTCTCACACTTTCTCAGCAGCTCCACCCTCTCAGTAATCAGCTCATTGTACTCACCTGCTCCATTCTGTATTTAGCTCAGTCACTATCCACAGTTCCTTGCCAGATTGTCATTTGCCTTGTCAGTGATTTTCCAGCGTTCTTATTCCATGCCTCATTTTTGCCTTGCCTCCTTGGCCCTGGTTCTGCTTTTTGGATTAATGATTTTTGCCTCAGCCCCTCCTGGATTTGTTTGGACATCTGATCTCCTGTTGACGACTCATGCCTGTGCTCCTGGATACCTGCCTCTCGCCTTGCCCCATAACGGTACGATGCCCTCATTGATCTCATGGTTTATGATCCACGCACCCCAACCTGATTTAAGAGTAATAAGACCTTTAAACCTGTTGATCCTTCTGAAAGCTCTGTGTTTGACTCCTGCCTGCATCTCAACTACTCTTCTTCCTAAAAACCCAAGACACTTCCTGGAACTAACAGTGACATCTTTAATGTGAACCCAACTGAGTCTCACGTTGTTTCTCATTGGAACCCTGCTGTTTACACAAGGTTAGTGGCTGTTATCATATTAGTTCCATTTGTCCTGTCTAACTCAGCCACTAACATTTTGTTCCTGTGTTTAGAGATACCACCCAGGAAGCAGTGACTCTCCAGATCCCTCCAAGGAACTTTGTCACCTCCAATAAATTCGTTAAACCTTATTTTGTGTTCGGCTGTTTAACAGAGCTCGAAGTCAGAAACTTAACAACAAGGATATTGGCCTATAATTTGTAAACATACATTCCACACCATGCTTATAGAGAGATTAACTTAACAGTTTTCATGTTGTTTGGAAATTTCCGTTTTGAAAATGATATATAGTGATGTGAAAAAGTGTTTGCTCCCTCCTCATTTGCTGTTTTTTTTGCTGTTTTTTTTGCATGTTTGTCACACTTAAGTGTTTCGGAACATCAAACCAATTTAAACAATAGTCAAGGACAACACAAGTAAACACAAAATGCAATTTGTAAATGAAGGTGTTTATTATTAAAGGAGAAAAAAATCCAAACCATCATGGCCCTGTGTGAAAAAGTGATTGCCCCCTAAAACTGGTTGGGCCACCCTTAGCAG